TGTGGGCACCTGGGCACACACACCTGAGCTGTTACCTGGCACCACCTCATTTCCCTTTCACAATAAGTCCTGGAAGTAGAAGAGCACAGACAGGAGCCCACCCTGGTGGTTTTCAGCAGCTCTGTTGTGTTCATGACCTCGTGGGGTTAAGGTGTCCCAGAGGGTCCCGGGCACATGAGCTCAACCAAAGCTTGTTCAGGTTTATCCAAACAAAGTGAAGGAATGTCCCATGTTCTGTTGCAATCCTAACCCTTCTTTAAATTAGCCAAACCGGTTTCTTCTTACCTGAAAAATATGGGAAGAGGAGGTATCTGTTCTATAAAAATGCTTTCTTAAAAAAATAAATGTATTATGTTGGGATGGATTTTAATAATACTTTTAGCTGTGCCAGTATGAATAACTTTAATCTTTAAATTCCTATTACTTCTCTAATTTATAATCACACTGAAGGATCAAATGGTTTTTAACAATATATTGAAATTAGCACATGGCATTTAACTCCCTGTTTTATGCTCTCATTATAGATTTATAGCATTGAATCCTTTTATTCTGTTACTTAGAATTCCAAGTGATTAATTCAAGAAGCCCTTTCTCTTCTCAAGGCCCTTGTAGTATGGAGAGAGATGGAGATACTGAGTTACTTGGGGTGCCTTGGAAGAGGGGTCAGGATGTGCAATTTTTGTTTGTTTAGAAGATTTCTGGGTAAAAGCTGCAGTTGTACCTGCAGTGGATTAAACATCCTTTTCTTGTAATGCAAATGTCATAGATCTGTGTTGCTGTGTGCTTTATGGTTTATTTAATTGTCAGTCTCCAGGGCACCAAATGGGCTATTTCCATCCAGTAAGTTCCAGCAAACCCCAATAATGGTTGATTCCTGCTGGTGTCCTCAAGCAGAGCAGTTCAGTGGCTCAGCTGTGTGTGTGGTTTTGTTCTGCTCTTGGCACGCCAAGGCCAAGCCTTGGTGGGTGGGTGTCTGTGCTCCCTCTGGGAGCTCCTCAGGTGGAGGGGAAGAACTGCAGAAGAGAGCAGAAAAGCAGAAACTATTTGGAAGTCTTAGACTGGTTTTTTTGGGTCACTCTTCCTCCCCATCCCACACATAATTCCGTTTTTTGGATTCTGCAGGAACATGGGATCCTGCAGCAAAGTTCAGGCTCTTTATGGAAATCTGTGAAATCATGTCCAGATATTTCATGTTCTTTTTACCAATAAACAGCAGGGAAATAATTGGAATTTAAATGTTTAATCTCCTTCCAATTTTAAGCCATAGCAGCACATTTTGGTTTTCCTGCTGAGCCGAATTCCGCCCGCCCAGATTTTGTATAAACCCTGTGACACTTTTTGATACATCCTGATGAAATGTGTTTCCTCCCCAGGGCCACGTTGGTACAACGGCAACCAAAAAAATCGATGTCTACCTCCCCCTGCACACGAGCCAGGACAAGCTGCAGCCCATGACCGTGGTGACCATCGCCAACGCCAAGGTGCACGACCTGATCGGGCTCATCTGCTGGCAATATACAAGTGAGGGACGGGAACCCAAGCTGAAGTAATGCTCTTTCTTTACTACCTCCTGACCTCTCCATTTCTCCTCTGCAGCCTTTTTAGCGTACTGAAACGGATTTCTGTGTCGGCGTTTGGAAATATAAACCCTAGCGCCTTCACATGTGGCAGTATTTCCCTCTGAGCAGCACAGGGGCACCTCCAGCCATTTCTCTTTCAATTAGGGAGGGCTTGGGCCTGTAAATGAATCATCATCTCAAAACTATGTAAAAGTAATGCAAACTGTATCTCTTTTGGTGTCACAGAGGCATTTGTTATTCCATGTCCCATCTATTTTTTGCTAGTGTCCTTAATGGCTGAGATCGCAAGGAGTCAGATAAAGTCCAGAGCTCCTCTCAGTCCCTCTGCTCTGCTGGAGCACTGCTGGTGGTTGGTAAGAGCTGTTCTTTTTCCTGGCAGATGACAGGAGATGCATGGAAAGGGTCTTCAGAACAGCTCACCTGAGCAGCTTTCATTTTAGACCAGCTGTGTAAAATACTTCTGGTTTTGCTGGGCCATAGAACATAAAATAAGGACTTAAAGCAGTTTATTACAGAGTTGCCAGTAGCAGTTACTGGCAGGGATGTCCCTGGTGCAAGGAGGTTGATAGTTTTGTTTGGGTTTTTTCTAGAAGAGCCAAATTTCACTTTTTTTATTGTTCCTGGAATATTGAATGAATAGGGTGGGGGTTTTTGGTCCTGAATTTCACAGCTCACTCTTTCAGCATTTTTCAGGAGCCCTGGAGGGTTCAGCAGCCCTAGCTGCTGTAGCACAGCTGTGGGGGAATGGGAGTCAGGGCACTGGGGTTCCCAGGTTTGGATTTGCTGATTTCTGTTCCACAGACAGGGCATGCAGGAAAGCAGCCCCTCTTGAAAACACTTCCATGGATGTTCTTTCTTTGGATATGGATTTTTCCTTAGCTCTTCTCAAGAGACATGTGAAATGTTTCTGGGGTTTAACACTTGGGTTTGATTTGTCCTTTTTTATGTTCTTGAGAAGAAATATAAAATTATTCACAGATGGTGCCATTTCATTTGCTGTTATTAATTTCTGCTCGTTATATCACAAGTTCAGAGAAGTGTCCTTTGTGTATGATTAGGCTATTTTTTAATGAGTAAGACTGCACTGATGTCAGTCTTTGGGCACACACACATTTCTCAGGAGCAGAGCAGAGCTCAAATGGAACAGCACCCGTGAGTGGAGTGTTCCATGAACCATCACTGCCCACAGCAAAAGGCAACAGTGGGAAGAAATGAATTTCACTGTCTGGCTTGAAGGATAAAATGTTATGATGTGTCAAAAAGTGCTCATGAGCAAGGAGGCTGTCCAATGTAATCAAATCTCAGGCAGAGAGAATAAAATAAAATAGATAATGGAGGCGTGAGCTCCCAGGAGCACAGTCAGACACAGCAGCAGCAGCAGCTGAGAGTCTGGGGACAAAGGCTCAAGCCAGAGCCCCGAGTTTCCAAGAAGTTCCTTTCCTTGTAGGCCCTTAATTATTTCTCATCATCTTTTTGTTACCATTGCTGAGTGCCAGTCCTGAAGCAAGGATTGATTTAACTGTAAACTAATTCTCATATTTCCAAGTAAGGCAGGAGCTCGTGTAGGGTGCCCATTCTGCATTGGCCATTTGCTCCTGATTCAGTCAGGTGAGAGTGTGAAAGGACAAAATGGGGATCACTGTGGCACTGCACTGAAATCCATCTACAGAATGCCTCAGATGGGTATGCAAGGCATGCAGAGTGACAGCTATACCTGCTAGTGACACTGGGAGAATAATGAGGAGGTTTTAGACTTTATAATTAGGAGAAACAACCCCTTCTGTCTTTAGGAAAAGAATATATTACTGCCTAATTCCTTTTCCTAAAAGATAGGTGTAAGAGTCTGAAGTGAATGAGCACTAGTTGACAGCTTTGAGAACATTCTGTATTCAATTAGGCTGCCTTTTTATTATAATTGTGTTGTATTTGTCTCTATTCAGTCTCTTGGTTCCAGGAACCGCTGGCAGGGTTAGCAGCCCTGTCCCTGGCCTCCCACACATGGACCTGGGGTGTAACCCAGCATTTTCCTGCCAGCCCCTGACAGATGTGCTGGAATGATTCCACCTGCAAAAAATAAACAAAATCCCTTTCTAGGAAGAAATTAATAGTGAGATGCACAATTCAAATAGATTTGCTATTTTTAGAAGTGAAGAGTGAATCTCTCCTTTTTGTGCTGAACTTGTAAGTTCCCAGCTTCAATCTCCCTCAGCCTGGGGGAGGTTCACAGTGCAGAACAGTTTTACTCACTGGACTTTTTTATTTATTTTTTTACCACATGGTGACTGAATGTGTGGAGGAAGGCAGCCCATGAGTGCAGGCATCTGCAGCCCCTCTGTTGTGCGGGGTGTGAGCAGTGCTGGGATGTTCCCAGTTTGCTGGGACAGGAGCTGGTGGCACTGGGGCCTGCTGGCTGTGCTCTGCTGTGCCTTCCTCCAGCTGGGGACACGGCAGGGAGGGACAGGGCACAGGGGGTGCTCCCACTGCCAGAGGGCAGGGCTGGCTGGGATATTGGGAACTGGGAATGCCTGGCTGTGGGGCCCTGGCACGGGGTGCCCAGAGCAACTGTGGCTGCCCCATCCCTGGAAGGGTTCAAGGCCAGAAAGTTTCTTTGCAGAATTTCCAAAATTCAGAGTGGTGAATGTTGCTGAATTACCTTTGGTGAGCAGAATTGCAGCTTACATTAACAGCAATGCATCATTATTCCCTGTTTTCTATAATAAATGTCTTAGTCATGACAAGATGCCTATAGATCACCTGGACTAAGCACTCTCAATAAAACACAGTTGCAACCAAAGGTTTGTGAATTAATTGAGAAAATTGCAAATCAGGTAGTCAGTGAAATAATTCATTGTCACATCCAATCAATAAACTTTGTAAATCAACTCATTTAATTCAAAAAATGATCTATATAGATCAAGCGACCAATTAAACAATTAGCATACACTTTACAATTAATTAATTTAAGCATCAATCATGCAATTAAAACTCCAAATTTAAACTGCAGAGTTTAGAAACACGCTGCCACATGCACCTTCAGCTTTACTGCATGGCTGGGGAAAGGCCTGAGTGCTGGCAGGTTTACAGTCAGAAAGAATACTTATTTTCAGGTCAATAATTTAAACTGAAGTAACATTTGAAATAGATTTCAATGTTAGGAAATTATGATTAATACCTGTTTGGTAGCTATAAATAGTTGTTTCCCTCTGGGCTCTCATCTGTGGAAAGAAAGAGGCTCAGCTCTTTATTTCTTTCACATTGTATCTGTTTCAGCTTTCTGTGTTAGTTCTGCTTGTTGGTGTTTATTAATTTGTGACTGCTTTTAGTGACTGAACTTAGGTATTTAGGAAAGGTAAGTGTTCTGCTAATCATTGCTGCTGTGTTGGATAGATATTTGCTTTTCCCATAGTTCATTACCCTGCTCACCTGCCCGAGAGCACTCTCTGCTTCTCCAGCCTACAGACACTGAGCTTCCACAGTTGTTTGACCTGTGAGAAATCACAGACACCACTTGTTTGCCTTCAGCTCTGAAGTGTAGTCATCACATAAATAAATAAATTTTCACAAATGGAGAAATATCCTTCCTGCTTTACGAAATCACAAAACTTTTACAGATTTTAGTGCATTTTAATCATCATCAGGTTTTGTTTGTGGAGCAGTGAAGGACGAAGACTGCTCTGCTCTGAGGTTTGGGGTTTTTCCATCACCGCAGGGTTGTGGCAGCAGGACACGTTGTGACCTTTGGGGACACGTTTGTGTGGTGTCACTGTGCCATGTGAGAGCAGTGCCCCGTGCAGGTGTCCCCGTGCAGGTGCCCCATGCAGGTGTCCCCATGCAGGTGTCCCTGTCCAGGTGTCCCCGTGCAGGTGCCCCGTGCAGGTGTCCCCGTGCAGGTGCCCCGTGCAGGTGTCCCCGTGCAGGTGCCCTGTGCGGGTGTCCCCGTCCAGGTGACCCCGTGCAGGTGTCCCCGTGCAGGTGTCCCTCTGCAGGTGCCCCATGCAGGTGTCCCCATGCAGGTGTCCCCATGCAGGTGTCCCTGTCCAGGTGTCCCCATGCAGGTGCCCCCATGCAGGTGCCCCGTGCAGGTGTCCCTGTGCAGGTGCCCCATGCAGGTGTCCCCATGCAGGTGTCCCTGTCCAGGTGTCCCCGTGCAGGTGCCCCGTGCAGGTGTCCCTGTGCAGGTGTCCCTGTCCAGGTGTCCCCGTCCAGGTGTCCCCGTGCAGGTGTCCCCGTGCAGGTGTCCCTGTCCAGGTGTCCCTGTGCAGGTGCCCCGTGCAGGTGACCCCGTGCAGGTGCCCCGTGCAGGTGCCCCGTGCAGGCGCGGTGCCGCAGCAGGCTGTGCTGAGTCACCCTGTCCCTCTGTTGCAGTGACAATGTCAGCGCCTACTGCCTGCACATCGCCGAGGATGATGGCGAGGTGGACACGGACTTCCCGCCCCTGGACTCCAACGAGCCCATCCACAAGTTTGGCTTCAGCACGCTGGCCCTGGTGGAGAAGTACTCGTCCCCAGGGCTGGCAGCCAAGCAGTCGCTCTTCGTGCGCATGTGAGTACCCGGCTGGGCACAGCCTCCTCCTCCTCTTCCTCCTCCTCCTCCTCCTCTGCCTCCCTTCTCCTGACCTCACCAACACTCGGGGCCACACCCCTTGGTGATGCTCTGCACTGAAGTGGTTTTATAGACAAATAGTTGCAGTGTGGCTCAAGAACAGTGAGAAGAAAAATGCAGTAACCAAGCACACCAGCTGGACTGGACATTCCCCTCCCAAATCCAGAAGAGTTTGGTGAGGGACACCCCACTCACCCCTGAGACTTCAGCTGTCTGACTTGTAGATCAAGAAGAATTTGCTCTGTCCTTTGCTATATCCAGGGATATATACTGTGCTTGATCACTTTTATTTTTCTTTACTTGTGAATGAAAAATCTCTTAAACCATCAGAAGGCCTTAATTACTAGAACAAAATGCCAGGAGCATAAGCCACTTCTTACTTGGGAAAAATATTTCATGTTTGGAGCTCTTGAAATGAAAATGCTAATAGGGTTTTCCTGGTTATTGGACATTACTTACATTTCTTAGCACTACAGCTGCTTCTAGTTCTGAATAATCAGACATTTTTTAAAAAATCTGGCTTATTTAATTAGTTTTTATATTCTTTATTGTGTACTGTGTTTCTTAGCGACGTTGCAAAGCATCCTACAGAAAGCCATTGTCAGAAATCCCACGTGTATTCCCAAAGGCCACATTCACTTTGCTCCACTGCATCAGGGCACTGGGAAATAAAATATTCTGGCCCCAGTGTTCACAAGTAAGTTATTCAAGGCTGAGATGCTGGGCTGTGCTACACTGAGGCCGAGGTGAGGAAGAGGAGGTCATTGTCAATGGACAACTCTAAATTGTTGCTGATTTCTCATCTGGATAAAGCGTCCTTCCCCAGCTGTGCCCCCAGAGCTGTCCTGGGTGCCTGAGCTGGGCTCGGTGCTCACTGCAGTGACCAGGGGTGGGTCAGGGGCTGGGGCTGCCCTTCCCGTGGGGACACAGAGACCTCAGTGGGGTCTGGGGCTGCCCAGCAGAGCTCTGCCTGCAGCAGGCAGCAGGAGAAGGGCCCAGCCGCAGAAAAATGCAAAATCTTTTGGTTTACCATCATTTGTGCTGATGTGAGGAGCTTCCTTCTAGCTTGGAGGTGCTGCTGTGGAGAAATAGGACAGCTGCATCATAAGCAGTGCTCTTCTGAAAGGGTCAGTTTGGTGGTGCCAACATCCGCATTTTAATTTTAAATGGCTTGTGATTACTGTGTAAATAGCTAGGTTTAAATTAGAATTTTTAATGTGTCCCCTAGAATAAAGAATTACTTGATCATCACTTGATCAAAAGGTTGTTACCTCTGTGAGTTTACATGTCTGTGCTGTCTTATTTTTGTAAGGATTTGCTGTAAATTCTATGTCTTCTTCCTCCCCTGTCACCCTACCGGTGCATGTAATTGTGGTTTTATATTTTGCATCTCTTTTTTTTTTTCCTCCTCGTGCTGAAGTACTTCAGCTGCTGCCATGTCAGCCTTGTGACTTGTAATGTTTATTAATATTGAATCACTGTTGAAAAATGTTGATGCTTGTGAGGAGCTCCGTGCTGGGGCCGCGCTCCTCCTCGCGGGCTGAGCCCCGCAGGGACCCCCTTCTGCAGGACATGTTTGAGCAGAAACAGTTTGCAGAACTTTACACACTTCACTCCTGCCAAGGCAAACTCTGAGCCGCTTGAGTCAGTTGTAAATACCCAGAGGTGGTGGCTGGAAGTAGCCCGCAGTGCAGTTTATATTCCGAGCTGGATGTGGATGTCTTTGTGGCTGTACAGAGTAGTAAATAATTGAGTTTGATTAGGGAGAGGGACCTCATTATCCCCCCACCTGTGCCCAGCTGGTAGGGGAGGGTCGAAATGAAGCCATTAGCTGTCGCTCTTACTGGCATCTCAAAGAGCTCAAATACATCTGTGTCTTATTTTCTTTTCTGGCACAATCAGTCGAGCAAGCTAAGCAGGCATGACCGAATTTGGCAAGTTCCAAGGACTCTGGCAAAGTTACACAAGGAGAAGAAGGAGGGCAGTCGTGCTGGCTGCTCGGTGCCCATCAGTCTAGCGAGCTGTGTGTTTGGAAGGTGGCTGCTGTGGAGAGCAGGGCTTTGTCCAGCCCCGGGCACGGCACCCGCACACGGCCCCGCGCTCCATCGGGGCTTTGCCAGGGAGAGGCAAACAGAGCGCCACATCCGTGGGAATACAGGCTTCTCGAGGTGCTGAGCTCATACCTGAACGGCTTAAAATAAATCCGTACCACCATCAGGGCTTTTTCCCTTGGAAATTTTATTGTTGGAACGTGACACACTCAATCTAATGGTGTTTCGAGGAGCTGTAGCTCAGCTGCCAGTTGGCACACAGAGCAAATTTGGCATCCAGTTCTTCTGCTCTGTAGCACTTTTTTTCTGTTTTGATATTGTACTTAAATTGCTTTGACTATTATATACAAATTTTCAAAGCCGTACCAAATAGTTTAAGGTTTGAAACCCTTTTAAAATACCAGACTTGCATTGTGCTTTTGCAAATTCAGTTCAAAGCCCTGAAATGTGTTTTTTCTTGGACTCCAGCAGCAGTCCCCAAAAGGCCTGTTCCTGATTTGTGTATGGGGGTGGGTAATCTGCAAAGTACATTTTAGAATATTCATATAAAATTTCAGACAGTTAATGTGGGTGCAAAATTAAGAGTGTGGCTCCCAGGATAGTGGAGAGGGAGGGGTAGGAGGGCATCAGAACACTTGATAGAGGGCTAAGTACTGCTATAGTGGTGTTAAAATGCAGCCAGTTGAACTCAATAGTGCACAGAGCTATGCAAGGCCAATCTGTGATGCACAAAAGCAGGTCATTCAGGCTCAGAATAAAAATTGTGGCTGGTATTAGTTAGTCCAGTTCCTATCACTGTGCACTTTATCTAAAAAATTACCCAGCTTAAGGTAAGTCCATTGCATCAGCTGGGATTTTGAGTCTTAAGTCTGACTTTGTGCTGATCGAGTGGAAATTGCTATTAGTCACTCCCAGGCACTTCCAGCCATGCCAGCTGGTTATGCAGTGAGCTTTAAGTGCTATAAATTCCACTTCTGGAAAGTAAATTCCACTTCTGTGTTAAGAAAAAAAAAGAAAAAAAAATTAAAAATTGCTCTAGATTGGAAAGGAGCTTTTCAAAAAGTTCTCTTCTCATTCAGAGCAGAAACCCTTTGTCCTTGCAGTGTGGGTTGTTTTGTTTTGTGGCAGAAGGGGGGACCCTGCCTGTTCCCATGGCACCTCAGCACCACGAGGAGAGCTTCTGCCTGTGCTGCTGCTTGCCTTTCCCTCTGCTGAACCTTGCCACCCTGGCTCCAGCACGGAGGCTGTAAAAGAAGATGGAAAGCCAAGTTACTGCAGAATGATCACTATCATTAACATTCACGGGTGGTTCACTTATCATTCCTGACTGCACAGACATGGCAGCCGTTATGAAACGTCCACAGGTGTAGCACGATGATACATATTACATTGTGCCACAATGGATTTATGTATTCTGTAACAAAAGAAAAGTGTAATGAAAAAATACAGAAGGTAATCCTTTATTCCTCCACTGCACAATTTATCAGTAATGCCTGTGGATGATAAGTGCCAGGGATTTCCTTTGCTTGATTTAACCTTGTCACCCAGGTATGTTTTTGCAAAATGACAGAAAATACAAGCTAAGGAATTTCTTTGGTTTCCAATTTGCCAGCAGCACTTTTAATTGATTGACCAGCATCTGCTTGTCTGTCCTATTTTCAGTGTGTTGACCTAAAAGGAAGGTATCACACCTTAGCAGAGGGAGGTAAAACACATTGTTAGTGATTGCAATTAGGGATTGGGCTGAGTGAGGGCAGTCCATGCCCATGGCCAGGGCAGAGCACGCTGGGCAGTGGTGGGCTGAGGTGGCTGTGTGTTTCTCCAGCCCAGCCTGCTCTGCTGGGGCACACCAGGCAGGGCTGGGCTGGGCTGGGCTGGTGGTGCTCCAGAAGCTCCAGTGCTGAGCACAGCTCCAGGACACCTGGCAGCGTGTCCAGTGCCAGGACAAGGAGCAGGGGCCTTAAACTAAACCACAGCAAGTTCCACCTCAGCGTGAGGAAGAACTCCTTTCCATGGAGGGTGGCAGAGCCCTGGACCAGCTGCCCAGGAGGGGCTGGAGTCTCTCTCTCTGGAGACATCCCAGACCCACCTGGCCGCGTTCCTGTGTCCCCTGCCTCGGGTGACCCTGCCTGGGCAGGGGACTGGACAGGGGGATCTCCAGGGGTCACTTCCCTCCCCAGCTAATCTGTGGTTCCACGGGGCTTCTCCTCTGGGCACAGAACCGTGCCCTGACTCTGGCCTGGCCCCAGGGTGACAACAGGAGCTCTTTGGTCTGGGCTTAAGTCCACCCCGGCTCAGATGTGAGGGGTTGCCGAGTGCTGAAATGCTGCTCTGACGTGGTGGTGGTGCCTTGTGAGAGGGAGCCGGGGCAGGGAGGGCAGCAGCTGGAGCAGGGTGGGGGTCCAGCCCCTCTGGCTCTGCTCCAGAGCAAACAGCCAAGAGTTTACAAGAGCGGGGCGCGCTCCGCGTCCCACCGCTCCTGCCAAGCACTCACTCGCGGCTCGCACACTAAATATAGCCAAACACACAGGCTTTCTTATTTTGCTTTGATCAGTAAAATAAACTTTCAGAGATTGTTCTGGGATGAGATCCAGCTTCTGAGGCAAAGAATGGCCGTGGCTCGGGCAGGGGTTAGTAATGGAGTGTCAGGGAAATCAGCCTGACAGTTCTCAGGCCAGCTGCTCAATGAAGAGGGCCGGCTGAGCCGGGCCAGCCCGGAACACGGGCGGGAGCGCAGCAGCCTGCGCTCTTCAGCAGCTGAAGTGTCAGGAACTGAGACAGAATCTTCCATTTTTGGGACGTTCCTGATCGTGGGAGTGTGAGCAGCCCTGAGCTGGGGCCATCTGCCAATGGCCACTCTGTGCCCAGTGGGAAGGGGGCTGCAGGCCCTGCTCTGTTTGAGTGAACAATGTTGAGAAGCATTTTGTGCAAAGGGGACAATTGTGATGCCGGCTGTTTTGGCCATCGCGGGTTATGGAAGCCTTCTGTTGCCTTTGCAATTTCTTTTTTCCCTGGAATATTTTAATTTATTTCCTTGTACTTTGGTTGGAGTTTTCTGGAACATTCCTGTAGATATTGCAGAGCATTGTATGAATTACCTGGAGGCACCAGGTGTTGTGATGGTCTGGTCCAGCATGGAGGGCTTTTCATGCAGCACTTCAACGAGAAACCATGTGTTGTTTGAATAAAAGCACAAAGGTAGTTTCCTTTTTGTGATTGTAACTGTAGAATAGGTTTTTCACTTTAAAGAATCCCCTGAATCTTGCTCAGCAGGGCAGCTGGGACTGAAGCAGTGAGGCTTTTGGGAAGCGAGGGATTGGCCAGGTAAAGGGCAGGTGTGTGGTGCTCGTGCAGGTCATGGGGCTCCACAGCAGCTTCAAGGGAAATTGCTCCTCAGTGGAGTGCTGGGGAAGATCTCTGCTCATTGCAGGCGTTAGCCCCTGAGCCCTGGGCTGTTCCCAGGACAGCAGTGTCACCTGCAGTGGCACTCCCTCCCTCAGCTCTGCTCCTGCTGCGCTGAACACGCGGCACAAACAGAGGGAAAAGCAGATGCATGAAAAGGTTGGGATTATTTGGTTTGAAGACGAGTAAGATAGAGTTATAAATAATAAATGGTCTGGAGAACATAAATTTGGGCTTTTAGGCAGTTTCATTTTGCCAGGAACAAAGGGAATTGAAAATGAAATTCAGATGAGACCAACGCAGAGCCGAGGAGAGGGAAACGGCGTCTCACACCAGCGAGGGGGGACAGGGGGACATGTCCTGAGCCCAGGCTGGATGCTGCTGCCAGGGCACGGGTGGCACCAGGACAGCGAGCTGTGAGCAGCACGTGGCCAGGCAGGGGCTCCTGGCCCCTGAGTCACGCTGCAGTCGGTGCAATGAGCAGTGAGTGGTGAGGGCTCTGTCCTGGCTGGGTCACCATGGGCTGGGGATGCCGTGTCTGATGTGACCTGAGCTCCAGCCTCTGGTCCCAGCATTTGTGTTTCAAAGTGACATGTAATATGGGTTTGTTTTGCAGGATGTACTTGTGTTGCTTGGATTGCTTTCGCCTGCCAGTTGCTTTTAAAAATATTCCAGCTGTGCTGTTCATATAGAGCTGTACTCCCTGATTAAAATTCCTGGTTGCCAGATACAAGGCTCCTCCTCCTGCCCAAATAGCTTTGCAAACCAGTTTTTTCCATGCAGAGCAATCTCTCCGGAGGGAGCCTTCAGCTCTCGGATTTCCCTGGAACTGTCTGCAGTGACATCTACTGACATGAGCCGAGACTGACTGCGAGGGCTAAGGGGCAAAATTTACTGATCTGCTCATTCAGAGTCTCTTCTATTATATTGTCATCTTCTGTGCTGCCCCAGGGGTGCCCCTCTCGGTGTCTGTGAGCAGTGTCCCCCACAGCCGTCCCCATGCTCCTTGCAGTCCTTCCCCTGTGTGGCCTCTCCCAGGGGTGATGGCCAGGACAAGGACCCACTGCCTTGGATCTTTCTGGGAGATTTTGTGCCTTTGTGTTCACAAACGTGTGTCCAAAGGAGCCCCGTTAGGCTGGGAATAATGCATTGAAGCAGTACCCTGATAGTGCTGCAAAGCTGCAGTCACTGAGGGGTGTGCTGGCCTTGTCCCTAAGGGTTTGTTACATGTGGGACACGGGTGAAAATGCCACTGCAAGCAGCTTTTCTGTAGTGTGCTGTAAGGCACAGACACGAGCTGAGGAGATGAGGAGCCCCCCAGGTACACTGGCTCATTTTTCTCTTCTAATGCTGAACGCCAAGTGATCAAAAATAACAATAAATTAGGAAAATCCTTACACCCCTTGCCTTAAATCTCACCCCATTTTGGCTGGTTTTGTCTCTGCCTTGCTCAGGCAGTTTGCTTGGTTTCTCCCTTTAACTTCCCTTTCCAGCCCAAGTTCGTTAACCGTGTGCCTAACGAGTGCTTTGCTTGAAGCTAACGAGGGCTGCGGGGAGCTGCCAGTGATGATTGTTTTGTAAAACTGCATGTGCATCTGTCTTGCAGAAATGCTGCTCATGGATTCTCACTTATTCAGGTGGACAGTATGAAGGTCACCATGAAGGATATCTTACAAAAGGCCTTAAAGAGAAGGAAGGGATCACAGAGAGGCTCAGGTGGGTTATTTATCGTATTTTCTAGAGGGCAGGGTGTTTTCTCCACGAGTATATTTTATATCTCTTTTTAACCGTTGTGAACGTTGCTCAGGTTTTGGGGGGTTGTGTCCCAGCCCCACTCACAGCAGTTCTGTGCACAGGTCTGTGCTCTCCATGCTGGCACAAAGCTGGCAGTGCAGGAGCTGCGTAATGTTTGCTGCAGAGCAGTATATCCATTCCTGCAAATATTTATTTATGATAACAAAGCCATTTGCATTCAAGACCAGTTCATGGTAATTTGGGATGATGGGTAGAAGTGCAGCAAGTCCAGCCCATGATAGAGTTTGTATATATACTTCTAATTTATGTAAGAAAATTATGCTTAGTGTGATTTTAAATAATTTCAAGAATTCGTTGTTACTTGTAGTGAAAAATTTACTTTCTGCAATGTTATCAAAATAGTGCTGTTATAGTTAAGGCATATGAATACTTAAAAAAGGAAAATGTACAGTGCTCGTATTTCTATTTTAGCAATGTTTTTCTGGGGGGTAGATGTGCATTCACATATATGTTAGTGTATATATTTCAGAAGTATAAGGCCAAGAGATCTTTCCAGCAACAAGAAATAATTACTGAGAGAAATTGCACCGAGTCTTGTCACGCAACAAAGGAACTTTAATATAAACCCATCTATATAGTGGGAAAGATAAGGATCTTGTCTTTGTAAATGAATGAAACCTCCTTATACACCCTCAGTTTTAACTATGGGAAAAGAAAATAAACCCCGTTCTCCTTAGAAAAAGTAGTTCAGTGCAGTTTTTAAATGCGTGTATAATCTGTCATGGATTTAATTAGCTATCTTCAGATGAGAGCTGAAGTTTTAATAAAAGTTAGAAGAGATAACACAGTGAAGGACACGGATGAGCTGTCTCAAGGCCATATTCCAAGGGAACGATAAGAGCTGTAAAAAATGGCAGAGAGGAGCAATTGAATGGAGCAATGAAAATCTGATTCTCGTAAAAAAGCAAAGGGGGGGGGAGGAGGGAGAGGAGCAGCGCTGGGGGGAGAGGAGCCCCGGCAGGCTGCGGCAATTTGGAGGGGGGCCAGCAGCCATCGCTCAGGCCGGCTGCGCGCCGCGCTCCAGATGTGCCAGCGGCACCCGCGCCCCGCCAGCTGACTGCGCCGTGTGATAGCCTGCTCTCTGGATGCCCATCGCTGGCCGCAGAGATAGAATTAAATGATGATGATCTTCCCACAAGTTGGGAGAGGAAACAATGCATATAAATCTTGATTTCATCTCAGCGTGAGAAGTCTTTATCCATCATCACTCATAATGAACAAGTCGTTAGCGGCGATGAATGGCGGTGGGGTTTTTTCAAACACCTCTTTTGTTCACTTTTTGGGTGACTTTTATTTATTTCCTGGGGTCAGATTTCCCTTCCCTGAAGGGAGGTTGCTAAAGGATTCACTTAGCTCAGTCTTTAAACTGCTTCCCCCCTTCGTGTAACAGATGTTTTATTCTTTGTCCATCTGAAATTTGATTCTGCTTTGACTCTGTTATTTTTGCTCAGTAGTTTAGAGTAGGAATGGACCTGGCATTTCTTCCTTCATCTAATACATTCACCTCTGCTGCCTTGGCCCTCCTGCTCAGAACCCTTTTCAGGAACAGGGTATATAGGGATGTATCAGAATTTTTTATTAACATTAACTTAGCTTATCCAAACCTTTCCTTATTCCCAATTTCATCCCTCTCCCAAAATGTGGATGATCAGGCTTTAGGGGGGTGGGAGGCTTAGGAAGGTCTTGCTGTTATCTTTAAAGCAGCAGCAATTGTAGCTGTGTGCACAGAGGGCACCCTCTGGATCCATCCAGGCTGTTCCAGCCCCATCTGCCACGGGCTGGCCATGCTGTGAGGGCAGGGAGAGCTCAGGATGCCACCACAGTGGGCACACAGAGACTGGAGCAGGAGAAAAAGGAGAGATTTTGCCATCATTTCTCACCTGCCCCCAGATCCCTCACCATTGCAGAGGATGTGCCTCTCGCTGTCACTGGGAGATGCAGGGAAAAATGGAATTGCAGATCAGAGCATTAGCACTGCACAGGCCTGGGCCAGGGTGCTTCAGGTCATTATTAACCAGTGGATTAGGATGTCAAAGTTCTGAATAAAAGATAAGACATAATTTAGGAGAAACATTTCTCCTCATTCAGCAATGTTTTCTTTAAAGCTGATTGGTCTGATTTTTAAAAAGTCATTACTAAAAATAGGCTGGACGTGTTTATTTAAAGTTTTTGGAATATTTTAATAATACAGAAATGCCCGTGAGCTTTTCTGCCTGTCTTCAATGGGTCTCCAGATCAGCCTTTTCAGGACAGATGAATTTATTGCATTGCAGCTTAGGCTGTTGTCAAGTACTGGTAGAAGCAGTTGCTTTCTGATCTGTTTTCGCCACTGACTTACAGGACATTTTTCAGACTGGTCCTGAATTGGCAGGAAAATGCAAACCTGGGTTGGCTACTTTGGGTGAGGAAAACTTGAGGAATTCGTGTGGTGCAATTGGGAAGGGTTTGTTCAGCATGACTAGGGCTAAAACACTAGGCTAGCGTTCTCCAAATACTTTGTTCAGCCAGTAAAGATTATTTGTTGCAGCAAAATACTGACCAGTAGGAGACAGAAATGGGCTAGAACCTTTTCTTCATAGAAAGGGCCTGAAAAAATAGCAGCAATATTCTGACTGTGCCTAGTTCTGTTTAGATAAAATTATTGCAAACTGTTCAAACTATTTCACCTTCCTTGCAATTCTTCTTTCTTAGTGTCTCAGGGCTTTTGACGTATGAACTCTGACCATTTTTAAATGATAATATTTGAGCCAGCCAAGGGGAAGGGCAGGTGGTGCAGGACCTGGATGTGCTGTAGCTCTCCTGGAGGACGTGGCTGTCCTGCAGCAGGACAGGGGGACCTGGTGACCTGTCCCACCACAGGCACCCACGGGGGTTAATGGAGCACTGGATCATCTGTGCCACGTGCCCAGATCACCAACTGGGAGAGGCACAGGAATGGCTGCAAGTTAGCAAAGAGCCTGTAACAACCAGTCAGTGCTGCACACTGGAGAAGATAAATCTGCAGAGGAAATGGTTGAGGCAGATGTTTAATTAGTTGGAGCCAGGCTGGATAAATCAGGATAGGAGCTGTCTATGCAGATACGCCGGTGTGCCTTCCCTTCCTCTGGGCTGGTGTCACTGCCTTTAGAAACAAACTGTTCTTTCTGCTGAGAGAGAAGCAGCAGCAGGAGTCGTACAGCCTCTCCCTTACTGTAATGGATTCCCCTGTGTACACTCATAAAACAGAAAATGTAATTGATGTTTTCTTATGGTAATGAAAACTAACGAAGTCGAATACTTTATCATCAATTTGTTTAACCTATTGCGTGCTCAGCAGCGTGTATTGCACGGGCATATTTCATGGGAGGGCTGGAAATAAAACTGCAGTTCTGGGATGGGCTTCTAGGGGAGACTGGTCTAATCCAGGATGGCCCACCTTGAGGGGGCTCAGGGGCATTGCTTGTGCAAGAGGGTTTTCTGAAAATAGCTCAGATGGGAGAGAAAGAGCCGAGGATGGGCACAGAGAGGGGAGCTGGAATCTCCATCAGCGCCACAGGGACCTGGCTGGGCACTGGGATAACAACCCTTGGAGAACCCTCCTGTCCAGGGGCAGTTTAAGGATTGTTTTGTATAATCCTGCCATGTCTACATCTCCTTTCTGTGTGCACTTCAGCAGCTGATGGTGTAAATACAAAATCTCTCTGCAGTGTGGCAGATCTGCAGAAAAGAACTCACATGCTGGAGATTGGGAGCGTAAGAACTTCCTGCTCTCCTTGAATTTATCAGTAAAAATGTCAGATACCGTGCTGTCTGGATTTTGAACAGCTCTAATAACCGAGTCCTGAAAAGCTGTTTTAGAAGGTGAGATTGGGGTGTTTTAGTGCTTGGGATAATTCTGCTCCCCAGAGATCAGTTACCATTAACTTCTGGAGCAGGTAGCTGTTGGGCACGCTTGGAATCCCACCCTCAGCTTGGCAGAGGAGGCTTTGTAGGTCGTACAGATCAGGTTGCAGAGCTGTAAAACACCATTACCCCTGGAACTTGATTTGCTTTACTGGGATATGATTTTCCTGCTCGCTCACTCTGGTGTGTGTTTCTGCTGGTGTTACTTTCACCAGTACTCAGTGTTACCCCATTAACATGTAAGAAATCTGGGTTGTGGTAGGTGTGCACTTTAAATCCTGCTTTTTTAGGGAGGCTCAGAGGGACCAAGGCAGGCACAGCTCTTCCAAGGGGGAAGGCAGAGCCCCTGCTCTGCTCCCAGGGCTCAGCCAGGGCTGGGGCTCACAGCAGCCCACAGAGTGCAGCAGGCAGGAGATCTCGTCAGGCTTTTTATATCTGCACCAAAGCCTGCACTCAATATTGCCTGAAAAATATGTTTGCATGGATTACGATTTTAAGAACATAGGAGAGATGGTGACTTCATCCTTGATACTTCATGTATCTTGATGCCATGGTGATTCTCAAATTAAATATGTGCAGGAACTATATGTACACTTGGAAGTCATCTCCCTGCCTGTGAGCTGTCTCATTCCTGCTGCTCTTCCACAAACACATTCCCTGGGACGCCAGTTGCCTTCTCCTCCGGAGCTCAGCTGAATGGACTATAAATACTAATGTAAAGTAAATAACAATGCAGAGGGAATGTGTGCAGAGGCTTTGTTTTCAAACAAATTAAGCATCGATGTCAGTATATAAAAACCGAATGTTCTTAGAAGGAGATGAGAGACAAAACTAAACAACATAAAATGCTGAAATGTTGGAATAATCCTGCCTGCTCCTGGTCCGTGTCAGCCTCTCTCCATCTGAAATTTCTCGTGAACAGAGAAGTCTCCTCTGATTAATCTTGTCTGATTTCAAGTAGAAATTCTTTGCAGGGTGAACATGCTACTGATTATTATTTAATAGCTGCCTCCGACTGC